CAGCAGTGATTGAATATCTAAGGCTAAAAAAAAAGTATAAACTCTCATATAGACCATATGTATGAAAGAAAATAGCTTTAACAGATGTCTTATTTTTAGTTTTATGTACATATTATGGTAAATTATGATGTGAATTGCTCTTCCAGGCCAACACAAAGGCCTCAGTTTAATAGAAGTTATAAAGGAACTTGACCAATAAGCTGTCCACTTATAAGAAGATGGAGCCATATGTGCAAGTCATTTCCATTGGGGTAGATCATCCAATGGAAGGTATTTGCTATATCAGTCATGAGAAACACTGCCTACCAGTCACTGTGTATTTAAAAAACTGAGCTCTAAATAAGAGGCTCACTATCTCACTCAGTAAGGCTGCTATAACCTATAGGGTCAGGATCAGAATCCAAAATGACATTTTGCATTAGACAGGGGAAGGATAGGAAGTACAATATGTGGAACATGACCTAGATGGGTTGGCTAACAAACAAGCAGGTTGCAAGTTCTTGAATGAATTTGTTGAGTTATAAATTATCTCTCAAAGAGAAAACCAGTAAAATGGATTAAAGACTTAAATGGGAGACCTAAAACCATACATTGCAAAGAAGAAAACACAGGCACTAAGCTCTTGGATGTCAGTCTTGGCAATGTTTTTGTAGATTTGACTTCGAAAGCAAGGGGAACAAAAACAAATATAAACAAATGGGTCTACGTCAAACTAAGAAAACTGCACAACAAAGGAAACCATCAACAAAATGAAAGGTGGCTGATTGAGGACATTTACCAATATTTTCAATAAGAGTTAATATTCAAAATGTGTAAAGAACTCATACAACTCAACAACAAAAATAAACCAACAACCTGGTTTAAAAAATAGGCAGAGAATCTGAACATTTTTCCAAGGAAGGCATACAGTTCACCAAGTGGCACTTGAAAAGGTGTTTAACATCACTAATTAGGGAAATGCAAAGCAAAACTACAGTGAATTATCACTTCACAACTTTTAGATTGGTTATTATCAGGAAAACAAAAAATAACAGGTGTTGGGAAGATGTGTAGAAAAAGGAACTCTCATGCACTGTTAGAGGGACTGTAAATTGGTGCGGCCACTATGGAAAACAGTGTGAAGCTTCCTCAAAAAATTAAAAACAGAACTACCATATGATCCAGATATTCTACTTCTGGGTATTTACCTGAATAATATGAGAACACTAACTTAAAAAGATATATGCTCACCTATGTTCACTGCAGCATTATTTAAAATAGCTGAGATATGGAAAAAAATCTAAGTGTTCATCAACCAATGAAAGGATAATGAAGATGTCATGTGAGCGCGCGCACACGCACTCACACACATACACACATACACAATAGTCTACCACTTGGCCATAAAAAAGATAAAATATTGCCATTAATGACAACATGGATGGATCTTAAAGATATTATGCTAAATGAAATAAATAAAACTGAAAAGGACAAAGTCATATGATTTCACTTATAAATGGAATATAAAAAAAGAAAAGAAATGAACTAACAAGACAAAAACAAACTCAGATACAAACAATGAATTGTAGGTTACTAGAGGAGAAGTGGGTTAGAGGGAGCACAAAATGGGTAAAGGAGGTCAAACATATGATGAAAGATGGAAACTAGACTTTTAGTGATAAGCAAGCTACAGTGCATATAAATATGGAATTATAATATTGTACACCTAAAACTTATATAATGTTATTAACCAATGTTACCTCAGTAAAAATAAGTTATGACTAAAGTAAACATTATCGCATTCTGAAATTGTCTTTGTTTTTGTGTATCTGTTTTCTATGATTGTCTTGATTAGTTTAATTACTAACTTGCCTTTTACTCCCTGTTCTCATTAACTCGGTACTTTTACATTTTTGGGGAATTTGAGGAGAAATTCAACAGTTATAGTTCACAAATATTTTTTCAGTTTGTATTTTTTTTGAAACAATGGATGAATAATTTTATTTGGCTCCTAAGAAAAATTTTAAAAATGTACTTCTTTTAACTTTCAGTAGGCTCAGACTTTAAAGAGATTAACCATGGTTCAAACTATTGCAACACTATTTTACAGGAGAGGCTCAACATAATTATGTTAAAAATCTTTGGTCTGATATGCACGACTGATGACCTTGTAAATTTTAATATACATTTATAAGCATTTTAATAGTGAAATTAATAATGGCACCTTAATGATAGATACTTTTAAATTAATATTCTCACAAATAGCATGAGCATGTGACTCATGTAATTTCATTAAAGAGAAATTGATACTTGCTTTAGACAAAAAAGAAGAAACCCTGAATGTCTTATATGATATATTAGATCAGTACATATCTTGAGGCATTTCAATTTGAAAAGGATCTTCACAAACTAAGACAAATAAATGCCACTGATAAGAGTGAAAATGATTAGATTTAACATAGGCTTTTGTTTTTCCTTGCCCTTTTAACTTTTTAAAATTCAGTCGTAATAAAAATAACCTAGATTTTTAAATATGTCATGCGAATTACACATTAAAGAATGAAGTCCAAATTCTAGACATTTCATTGCTCATTCTCATAGAGTGTATATGCAGCAGTAGTTACCTGAATCTGCATTTTATGTCAATCATTTTGGCATAGTATCTTTTCTTAATGTGTCCCAGATGTTATGTAAAGTTCTGAACATGTTTTAAAAATGTGTACATATACATGTGTAAGTGTGTGTTTTTCGGAAGGGAGGGAATCAAACAATAGCCTGCATAACTATTAAAAACTGCTATTTTGACCAAATAAAAGTTTACTATTTTTATAAAAAATTAAATGGTGAGCATTTGTAAAATACGTAGTGCCTTATGGCCTTTACATCTAACAGACGATGACATCAATTTTCTGGATGATGATCAAGTACATATTGATGCAGCTGTTGCCATAGAAAGACATGCTGAAGCATCTACTTTAGTTTCAAGTCGTTGAACATGGCTCTTTTCTTTAAATGAGTATAATGGCCTATGACTTTTAATAATGAGTATCTAAAACCCAGATCACTAACAAAAATAAAATCTAATTTAAACTCTTTAAAGGTTTGGAGGAGGAAGAAGATATTTTTCAACTGTACAAACAATGAACTCACCTACTGAAAAGCACATTTCTAAAAGTGAACAATGTTTCAGAAAATCCAAGAGTTGTATTTCTAAGAATCAAAATCTACATTGAGAAACATACATTTGTCATAGTACAACTCTACAGTGAGTCTCTAATGTACTCTGCTGATTGCATTTCACTGTGTCACTTCTTGTCCATTTTGTACTTCTGCACCCTTCTTATCGATACCCGGAAAACTTTTAGGTTGTAGCACAGTTAGAAGTTTCTTTACTGATGGGGCAATATTAATTGTTCAAACCAGTATTAAGGAGGATTTAGGGTTTCTATTAGCTTTATTTACATTATCTATTCTGTTTTATATGAGAAAAACTAAAATGATAAGATCTGATATATAATTTGTTTATGTCCATCTTTCAATATTTAAAAAACTTCCTATCTGAAGTATAAGCTGCACATGCACCTCCCTTCTTACAGTTACATGGTTTTTCAATTTTCCAATGAGAATTACTTTACTCTAAAACCTACACCCCACATTTAAACACACATGGAAATAATAACTTCTTTATTCTTTCTTTCATTTAAAGGAGAGACAAAACAACTTACGTATGTCTAAATTTAGAAACATAAAGTACATCTCTCCTTTTTGATTGTGGTTATTTAACTTTGCCTTAATGATATCCTTTATTTTCTATCTATGGAAATCCATTGTCTTATTTAAAAATTTTTTCTTGTATGTGCTTTGCATGTTATGTATCTATTTATTTACAAAAATAATTTTGTATCTTTAAAAAACTCATACTGGAAACTTATTAGGGAGAAAGAAAAAAGAAGATAAAAAAATATGCAAATCAACAAGATAGTTCACTATAGTCTAACTCCATTAGAATTCAAACAAGGTCATTGCTTTTCCAATGACCTTGGTTGAAATCTAATCCTTTTCTAATACAGTCACTCAAAATTGGATCTACTTGTCATTCTCATTAACTGAATATTTCTTGCCACCATAAACTCTGGTCATCTCAACCAAAGGAAGTACAACCTACATATAAGTCCAATTATAGCACTCAGGTTTTTCTTACAAATGCTATATGCACTTTATTAAGGTGACATGGTCTGTTTATCTTGTCTCCATAATTTAGAAAATCAATGGAAAATTAGCTAATGTCTTAGAAACAACTTCTTTCTTAAGTAACAAAGAATCCATTATACATTTCACATAACATAGGCCTTGGTGGAGAGCCTGTTTGCAAATAGATGCTGCAACTACTGCTCCAGGAAGCAGGCAAGAACCAAAGGAAATTTTCTCTCTCTTCTCCTTCCCTATATGCCTTTGCTTTGTGATCACACAGACAAAGTAGGAAATTTGGCTATGGAAGGGGTGGCTGAATGGGTGAAATGATGGGCCTAACTTCCTAGTGCAGCTCAGACTCAAGTTTATGTTTTACATACTCTACTTAAATTCTACATAAAATATTCTCTGAAAAACAAGTCAGAGTTCTTTTTTTTTTTTTTTTTTAACTTGGAAGCCATATTAGATAATTCCTTTCCAAATGCTACTATGAGTTTATACCAATTTATTAACTCACACTGGGCTGAGATCAAACCGTGACTGCATTTGGATAATTCAGTATAAATAAATAGGGTAAGAATGCCAGGTTTGCATGCTAGTCTCTCTGACCTCAACTGCATTACACACTCCACAAGCTTGATACAGTCTAATAATTATTAACTGATATTAATGGGATGTACCATGATATACTGATGGACCTGATCCCATAAGGTACAAATAAGACACCCTATATATATCATTATAAATGGTAAACTAATGTCTAGATAGTTCATAAATGAGCTTTAACAACATATGCTAACCAAAGCAGAATGTGTGGGATTTATAAGTACCCTCGTACTGGAATATTCATGTGCCTTGCAGACTTAATGACCTCCTCAAACTTCTCCATACTTTCTTCAATAGAACAGTTAATGTTCTTCTTGCTAAAGGACTCAGATGCAGCACCAAAAACTGATACTTCAGTGGCTCCAGCAGCAACCTGAAAAATATCATTTAAGGCAAAAGCTAATAATTTCAAAAATGCAAATGACAGCAGTACAAGAAATAGTAACTATTCTATAAAGGTGTACTTGTATTCTTTAACATCTGCCTTACAATTTAAAATTACGTTCCTCTAGTATTGCCACATATACTCTTTTGAAATGTAAAAATTTTTTATAACAGAGTAATTCCGCAAACTAACACTCATAAATCTATGAGGCACAGAAAACACAGTGATGATGTTCCAATATAATTTTGCCTTTCCTAAATTATGTTATCCTCAGAAATTTAACTCTAATTATGGGAAATGCTAGCACCCCAATAAAACCTCTTAATATTTATGGAAAACATTATTTTTAGACTAACTATTAAAACAAAGTACAAATAAATGCTGTTTTTCTTTTCCTACATCTGATAGAAAAATATTTTTCCAATTCATCATTTAGATTTTGCCCCAAATTTTCTTATCTCTTAATCTTACTTCCATCATTTCATACGTCAACTACTACAACCACACTCATGTGTCTAATGCCTAATCCTCTTGCCAGACTTTAAATCCAAAATGTTAGCTAATCAATTTTCCCCTTTGCCATCTTCACTACTTTCCTCAGGCTTATCCAGTGAATGTTTTCAAATGTCAAGCCTCCTAGTTTTTTAGCTGAAATTTTAAGACTTTCTATTAATGTATCTCTAGCACTGTACCTAGATGCTCACTCATTCTGATACCCTATTAATATATTAAGAAAAAAATTCTGTCATCTTTCCTCCAACATTAAAAAAAATATATTGGCTTCTACTCCTCTGTCAAAATAAATTTTTAACCTCTAAAATTAAAATTATATTTACTGAACAGCTACAATGTACCTACAGTATTGTTGTTAGTACTTTGCATGCTCTATTTCTAATAGACAATCTTGTAAACTAAGTATTATCCCATTTTACAGGTGAGAAAACTGTGGACAAAGAGGCTAAATTGCTAGTACAAGATCACTAAGCTAATAAACATTCTGGAGCCATGTTTTGAGCACAGGCTTACCTGATTTCTGAGCCAAGGTTTGTTTCACTCTCTTCCTTGCCCCTCTAAGCAACCACAAGGGTATCCCCTCAGAATCTTTTCAAGGTGGATATATGTCCTACTTTGTTTAGGGCCAAATGATAGCGACATTTAACATTTCTTAAAATACCTCCTTTTTCTTGACAATGTGATAAACAATTATATCAAATCAAACAAAAGAAAAGATTAGTGGTTTTAAAAAGATACACTAACAGGTGACATATAGACTAGTACCCACAGCCTCAACTTTATGCAACACAGTCTGAAATACAAAAGTGAAAAATATCCATTAACACCAGAAATGGTGGCTGCAAAACTTTTATAATAAAGCTATATAAGCATAAGACCTCAAGACTTTACTTAAAAATGCATCAATTTGTCTTGTACGTGTAATTATTAAAGCTTTTTTGTATATAAATTCCTGTCACAGAGGATGGAAAGAAACAAGCCAGAAGAGGAACAGGGAAAAGTTGTTAAATGCAGTTCCAATGACAGTGATTAGCTTCACCTAGAGGGATGGAATGACAGCAACAGCAAGCTGACCCAAAGAAGCTGACAAAAATAATCATCCACTACAATAATATTAATAACTATAATATTATACAGAGGAAGGGTTAAGTTATTTAAGGTTATTAAGATTAGATTATTATTCCTTATTTAAGAGGGATGCACAGAATATATTTTCAAAAGAATTTCATCAAAATGGATAACTGTATATTGATTCTTGAATGGTTAAACTGGAAAAACCATTTATGCAGAGCACTTTAGCCCCTAACTACTCCACGAGTTTACTGCTCTCCATGTATTTATGTGAGTATATTAACATAGTATTTACGCAGAATAACAAGTGAGCTACATTTGACACCATTTTATCTTTGTAAAGACCTTTTAAACAATAAGAAACACTTATTTTAGGAAAATTAGTAGCACACTTACAGCACGGTGTAAACCTTGAAGATTAGGAGTAAGGACAGGATATCGAACTCCTGGATATTGATGAATGCCTTTCATGACTTCAGTGTGATCAGCCATCTTAAATACAGAATAGTTATATATAAATATGTAACTTTGAATAGTCTATCAAGCACAGTTTTAGTTTTTCAGGAAAGTTATCATTACACATGTAATTACATTCTATAAATTTGTGTTTGAAATGAAACTATGCCAGTGTAGCTAAAGATAACTAGTTTTCAATGCCAGAAATACATAATACCTAGATCTGGGTTTAACTTATTCACATAACAGGATCTGGTTAAATGAATGATTACCAATAGTCAGGAATTCTAAACTCTACTATTTTCACTTGACTCATCTTTATTCTCTTCCTTTAATTTCATGACCCAAGCCTCAAATACCCCTGAGACTGAGGAGAGTTTGAAAGGCAATATGCTATGCATTTATCATCCACATGAAATTTCATGTCCAAATAATTTTCGGTGTATGAAATTTTACAATATTTAGCAAAACATAAATTACTCATCTCTGTTAAAATAATTTAACAAGGCTGATATCCTAGTCTATTATTTGGTTAGCATAGATGTTTTAGTTGATAGTCATGATGCTCTATGCAGTACTATCATCAGATTACTATTTGTTCTCTTAATGCAAACAAATGAGTACAATGGAGTACACAAAAGAAAAATTTAACTCATCCTACCAAGACTTTATTTTCCATATTTTCTATATTTTGTACAAATCTATAAAAATTCAACTTTGAATTAAAATATCAAAATCACTAGTTTGGCACAGAGTACATAATTTAGCCTCCTGGAGCAATAACTGATAATCAAATCCCATAATCATCACACAAAGAAATTACCATTGACATAACCATGATCTCTGCACACTTAAGTTATGAGTTATGACATGAATAAAAACATAAGAAATAATATATAAACAATAAAAGTTATACAAAATGAGCATTGATAAAACTGCATGTAATAACATACACCAAACCAAAATTTGTATCTTCAACATAAGAACAGATGAGGGAAGACTTGTATTTTATCTATACATTTTGGCTTATTACAATAAACATATATCGTTTTAATTTAAAAGTGAAATAATAGTATATGTATCAAAGTATAAATGCTTTTCTTAATATAACCACTAACGTTTGAAAATTATGAAATATATTTACTCTTATTGGTTCACTGGTCTTGACTCTCAGTTAAATGCCAATAGAATTTAATACTTTTAATAAATATAATTTGAATTAAATTTTAAAATACATTTTAAATTCAAAATTAAATATTTAAGATGTAAAAAGTACCTCCCACTGACTGCTATTATGCCTTACTGACATTTAAGCTTTCATCTTTCATTCAATCCAAACATTTATTTCTATGTAAAATTTGATTCTCCCTCACTTATTTCTTAGGGATCACATGCACATAGGGATCATATCCACACACAGCTGCATCCTTTACAAAGCCTATCCACTGTAGTTATCTGCATTACATGAAAGCTGTCTTATTTAATTTTAAGTCTATTTGACTTTAATCTAGATGTTCATTGAGCACTTACTTTATCTAAAGCCCTATGCAAGGCCCTGTGGGGAATATAAATGCAGGAAAGTAAGGTCTTTGGACTGAATCATTTGCAATATAGTTGGAGAGATAAAACAGATGCACATGGAAAGTTAACCCAAAGGAATATACTGGTTGTAAATGAGTGCACAGGTTGTCAGAGGTCAGAGAGGAATAAGGTTGTTAGGTCTCTGTGATCTTTGACTATGGATGGCATATTAATATTTCCCAAAATATAGCCACCATATTTCCAACCTCATGCTATTCCATAATCTCACCAATCCCCATTGAGGGGAAAACTGTTTACACTCCACTTGAACCTGGAAGGCTTGTGATTGCACCAACAAATAGAATATAGCAGAAATAATACGATAAGTCCTGAAGCAAAGTTTTAAAAAAGGATACAACTTCCATGTATGGCTTTCTCTTTGGGGGAGCCACTGTAGAGAAATCAGTTGACATACTGTGAGAAAAAGTAGCTTATGCAGAGAGTCCATACGAAGAGGCCCACATGGAAAGACATGTGAAGAGAAACTAAAGCTCCCCCAGCCAACAGCCAGCATTACCCCTAAATCTGCGATTGAAGAAGGCTTTAGATGACTTTGACCTCCAGCGTGTGAGGTACCCAGATGAGGGCCCAGACATTGTGGACAAGACTACCTGTACCCTGATCAAATTTCAACCCTCAGGTTTTGTGAGCACAGCAAATGTTGATTTATACCACTAAGTTCTTAGGTAATTCATTACATAGCCATAAAAGCCAAAACAATGAAAAATTGGGAGGCTGAAAAAGAGGGAGGGACAGGTGCAGAGGTAGGAACTCATTTTTCAGCTAGAGAAGATTATCGGTAAATAATCAGAGAATAGATTATAAGTGAGGACGGGGGGCCACACACTGCTATGTTTTTGAGTTAGGTTCACATTATCCTAAAAATTCAGGATTTATTGTGAAGGCAATAGAAAGCCAGGGGGAGTGAGTATCAAATTAGCAGAAGGCTAGGATAAATGCAGTATTTTAGGAAGACTAAGCTGAGAGAGATGTAAAGAGCAGTTTAGAAAGAGATCAGCCATTTTCAGACAATCCTAAGAACCCAGCTAGTGACAAGTTCTGTAGTAGAGAAATGGCGCAAGGAATAGAACTCCAAAAGAAAAATCACAGTGTCCAATAATACAAGGAACATGATTTGCTCAAAAATGTGATCCTCACTATTTTATAACCTTTTAAAAAATATTTAACATTTGTGCCTATTTCAACGCAATTCTTGATTGCATTTAATGAATTTAGCCTTTGAGCTAGAGTGTGGGCTCATTCTGTCTCTAACTTGCTCTCTCTTTCTCTGTCACAGACACATGTACATGGAAACATGCCCATTCAAATTATAATGAAAAGTGTAGAGCACTTATTCCTAATTTCAAGCAGAAAGAAAGGAAAGTTACTACTAGTTTTAAGACACTATAATAAAATCCACAACATTCTTCCAGAGACTAATGTTGATATTATTAATACTTATGTCTAAACATAGTATGTTTAAATATTTATTAGAGACATTTATATGAACATGATAACAGATAGGAATAAAGAGTGCTTCTCTAACCAATACAAAGATTTGGATATAGTAGGCAGTGCATCATAAAACAGCATAAAGGGCATAAAACAAATTTTAATCTTCAAGAAATATAGGTCATGTTGTCCTGTAAGTGATTATTTACCTTTACATGTAATTTAACAACAATCTTAAATCATTATGAAGAAATTTGTATAATGAAACAATGACTTAATAGATGTTTCAATCTTTAGAACTAGAAAATAAACAGAGATAATAGCAATTAAGTTTCTAGATCATGAAAACTAAACTTTGATAATCAGTAGAGATATCTTAATGAAATTATGATAAATATATTAATTAGAATTCCACAAATCAGTACTTTTTTCTTTAAAAATATCTACAATATAATGAGGTCATTTAAGAAGTAACAGTATTCTGTCTAAATTTGGTCAATAAAGACAATTAAGTAAAGAGCTTTAGGAAATCCTGATAGGATATAATTTTATTACAATGAATAAAATAAAAGTTTCCATTAAAAGTATTCATTTAACTCAGGAAGTTTATGTTTACTTCAATCTTGATGTTATTTTAATGTCTAAAGTTTATTATTCAAACAATAACAGAAATATTCCTTTATGGTATTATCTTGACATTTTAACGAAACATTTCTACATCTGTTTTGATTTCATGACTTTTCAAGATCATGAAAATCACCATAATTTGATGGGTAACATACGTCGCCATCATCTGGCCACAGTCTGGGGATGGCAATACCTATGTCTGTTTAGCCAACGAAACAGGCAATACCATGGTAACTTCTTAGGCATCCATATTTTGATATGAATTCAAATCATCAAAATATTTGTGAAAACTATGCAAGAGTCTTAAAGACATGCAAAGAGTCTCAAGGATTAGAATGTAATGTGTATAGTTAAGAGATTTTATTACATTTGCTACTAACTCTATCATAGAGTGATTAAATCTAGACATTTTGCATTATACATGTGTAGACATCTTACTAACATTTTTCTTTATCTAAATACTATAATCTCTCCTAAATATTTAGACTTTCAATGTGTCCTCAACTCACCCAAATTCCCTGATATTGTGGAGTTTCAAGATAATGCATATGAGTATGCAGCTATAAACAATGAGAAAGTGTTTCTCATAAAACTGAGAGGGGAAAATATTAGAAGTTTCAATTACATTTTGCAAATAGACTGTGATATTTATCATTGGGGGATACAAAGATTAATTTTAAAATATCATAAGAACTTAAGAACTGATTTTTATAATTCATTTTAATATTTGAATACTTATTTATTTCAATGTTATATACATTTACTATATACCCAACACTATGGCAGAGAAAAATAAAGCAGATGTGATCTACATACATTACATACACAGGCTAGTGGGGAAAGATATATGTGTTTGTGTGTGTAACAAAAATATAATACAAATATCATGTGATCGGAAATTCTATGGAACACAGATAAGGAAGCATTTTCCTTTACAACCTAAGCTAGAATGACAAATATTTAACTAAATCTTGTCTAGGCCAAATGTACATAATTCGGAGGCCTGTTTTTCTTTGGAGGAAAATATTCAGAGTTTAAATGGAGCAAAACTATTCACAAAGATCAACACCTTTCAAAAATATTCATAAAGGAATACTAGATATTCATATATATTTTTTCTATGAAAAATTGAACTTTCTAATGTACTGTTAAAAGAAAAGGTTTAATAAGCCTAAACTTAAAACAAACTTATTTATTAAAATTCTTTGGATAATTCTGGGGTGACATATTTTATATAAATTAATTTTTAAAGTAATATAATTCTTTCATTTTCAAGTTCAATAAAATATAAAGTAAAAATACTTATTACCCTTTGCCTCTCTTCTAACTAATAACTGATAGAGAAAACTGAATAGTCATTGATTAAATTTTGTTCA